ACCCACCGCCTTTTTTTCACTCCTCTTCACTGATCTACTGGGCAAGAGAGAGAAAGAGAGGGAGAGGGAGAGAAAAAGAGCTCACTGTACTTCATATCTCACTTATTATACCGCCGTCGCCTTATTATCTCGTCGTCGTCACGGCAAAAGTCGGCAGCGACGAATTAATGAGATAACGTTGAATAGAAGACAAAATGACGCGCCCGGTCTGAATTCGACTCGAGCGACTTTGCTCCAACGACGTTGGCAGTTTCGAGGTAATCGTCGGGAAAAATTGGGGCGAATCGCCGCCTCGTTGATTCCGCGGGCAATTTCTCGCGAAATATACGCTCTCGAGGATTGCGCATTTATGGGCTCTGTGATTCGTTACGTCATTTTATCATTTCGACTATCTTTTTTAATGAGACAGTCTCTTTCTCTTTCCTCGCTCTCTTGGGGGCGGCCTGCTTGTTTCCTTATTATTACTTCATTTGTGACTTTATCGTCGTGTATTTCTCGCGTGAAAGTAAATTCGCAGGCGGCGGAAAAGCGGGAGCGCTTATCTACGATTCGATCCACGCATCGCGGATTTAAAGTCTTAACTTTGGCTCGCCCTTTCGCGTTTCATGCAGCCGCGCATCGACCTGTACATCAATATCCAATTTTATATGTCTCTCACTCTACCACGAATTTCGAGCCGCGTCGTGATTCAGCTGTAGGAATTTTTATTATGCCGTGTCAAGACTGGCGGCGAGGCGTGGCGGGGTGAGTGAAAATCAGATTCAAGTAGAAATTCCATTAAAACTCGTATTTGCTCTCGAATATCGCTGACGAACGGATACCGATACTCCAGGCCGCGTTGGCTCGGTAATTCCACAAAGCAGACAGAGAGAGAGAGAGAGAGAGAGAGAGAGAGAGAGAGAGAGAGAGAGAGGGAAAGCATTCTCGAGTATATGATAAATCTCGATTTCGTCGCTAAAACAGCCAAAAATATTGACGATACCTGTCCGTCCTGATCAGCGTCGGCTCGTTGTCTCAGCCCATCCCACACTTTAATCAGAGTGTCTTTAGTGTGCTGCGACGTGGAATCGTCCGGCTTCCAATGTCTAGAGTTGCAGATTCGCTGTAATGCGAAATAATGGACGAATCAGCGATCGAATGAATGAAAATGTAAAAATTGACCATTATATTTTCATCTAAATGCGTATGCTTACTTGCACAGCGAGATCGAAATCCTTCTTGTCGATAGTACCGCTTTGATTAACATCTGCGGGAAAGAACAGTGGATGTTAGTAACATCCCGTAATTAATAAGTTATTACTGCTCGATTTGAAGGTTGCACTGTGTTGACGTTTTGCTTAAAAATTTAATTGTTCGGCATTTTATTCGCCGAGATCTTTTGCGCATGGCTATTTGTTATTTCGAGCAAATGCCATGGCCCAGCTGTCACTGGCATTCGCGAAGAGCGTCGTGCATTTTTCACTTAAAGGACAAGATGAACGATCGCACCACTCGATTTTGAAGCCGCTCGGCCACACGATCGGATATCGTTAGTTTTCTGAAGATGACCCACTTTTATTGCAAGTTTATTCGTTTTCGCGCGGCTTCCGATGGCTGGCTTGTCGTTTATTAATTCTGTTTTCGCAATAGAAGGAAACTACTTCCTGTTTTGCCCTTTCCTGACTCCCGCAACTGGAATCCCGTTAAGCGCCGATTGCGATTCAACGAGATGGAACGTGGTGGAGAATAAATTGCCTGCCTGTTGTATCCGTTGCGCGGTTGACAAACCGGGGTCACGATGAAATAATTCATATCAGCGTCCGAGGATGCAACTGGTATCTCTAACAACGGTCATTGCAAAAAGTCGGAACTTGTCGACATGTAAAAAATTAATTGAACGATCCTGGTATGTAGATGCTGTCCCTGTTTAACACAGAGCGAAATGGCGCAGATAATATTCGTAGATATTTTCGTAAGCGAGGACGAATCTTCGAAGCCTCTCGCGGCGACGTATAATGAAATTGAAAGGCTGAGCAATCGTGCACTGGGAGAATATACCGCGACATCCTCTTCCTTTCGTATCGCGCACGATAGGTCACGATGAAATAACGTGTCAGTTTCGCGGAGAAGCCTCCGTAGGATATGTTTAGCGGCCAATCGTGGCGGCAAAAGAGGAGACGAGAAAGCGCGAGGGGTTAATGAGAGCTACCAGGCGTGTGCACGCCTGTGACCTCCACGATCCGTGCGCGATGTGGCGCACTATGTCGCTCCAACATGTACAACAATGTACTTTTACACTACGTGTCGTGTCATCGTGACAACGCGCGCGTGCGTTTCATCCATTATCCTGGTTACTGTAAGTAGGATGCGCGAAGCTCGAGCTTTTAATAAGCTTTTAATAAGATAGCTGCGCGAAAACGTCAAAGTAGTGTCGAAATCAACCGCGCGTAGAGGCCTCGCGTGAAGCTGGAAAATCGAAATTAACAACGGTTTCACGAGAGAGTAACGAGAACAACATATTCGAAATGAATTCTCCGACCAAGAATTGGCGATCGTGAAATTCCCCGAGGACGGAAGTTTCTTTTCGAAATGGCGACATTTCCAATTGAAAGAAGCACGTTCTGGAAAATGAATTGTTCCGCTCCTACAGTCAGACTTTTGGTTACGAAACAAGTTGCATATAACGTTGTGTGCGGCACGATCCCGTTTCGTTACGACGCATAGCGACCGGAGGAAAAAGGCACTTAGGGGGCCTATAGGAGTCTTAAAATGACTTCACCATCGGAAGACGCGCACGGAGAATTAGGACACACGTATCGCACATCATACGTACCGTCCTTAATCGCGGACTCGGCGGCGCCCATTGTTTATCTCCTCGAGTTCGTTCCACCTCGCTTATGCCCAAACGGCCGACATAGGTACCGCACAGAGACCGTACAAAACGCCGCCGTGCCACCCCGAAGAGAGCCGCGTGAAGCCACCCACGAAAACGACCCTCGGGCGGACTCCGTATTTCATTCGTGTCGAAACGATACGGCTTGCGCAGCTTTTCGCGAAGGCGAGGGCGAGTGAAATAGGACCGTTAGGAGGGAATCAAGAGAACAACCCCGACGAGAATACGGCGGCGACGGCCGGGAGGAGGAGGAATGGTAGCGGGATGCCATCAGACGTAGATGCGACACCTCGTTCGTTACGTTACCGCTCGATGAGGATTTGTTTCGCCGAGCTGTGCGAAACGAGACGGCGCGATGGGAGATTTTCGTCCAACGAGCGCTGCGAGGGCGGTAAATGTTATCTCGAAATGTCGAGGAGAACCGTTCGCCCGTTGTTGAGCGCATTTGGCCGATAACGCGGTGAGGAAGAGAAGAGCTTCTCTTGTTGCGTGCTCGGCGCAAGATTGATAAAGTTCGCTTAATACAATGATCCCACTCGGATTTTTTTGTTTGTTTATATATAACGATTTTTCCAAACGCAACGTTGTAAAGTTAACGTGCCATTTTAATCTAGTGCAAATTTTTACAAAAAGGTAGCAATCTTTCTTTAACTTTGATAGTCAGTCCTATATTGCATAAGAAACAAACCCGAGCGAATTTTTCTACGCTTGCTCATTACGCGAAATATAAACAATCGCGGGAAAAAGGAGTGATTGTCGGTATGAATGGCGTAAAGTCGTGCTTGAGAAGATAAAAATATCACCCTCTTGGTACAGTTGAGACTGCTTTGTTGTCAGTATTACTTCGTCTAATAACCAGCTTCCGTTTATTTCTCACTATAAATCTTTTCGAGTGAAATTGTATAACAGCATTTGCGAAATAATTGTATTGCTCCCTTCACATCGTCATTAATAATTTAACGTCACACACAGTTGTTGCAAATGAATATACCTCTGCTCTAATTTTTACGTCGAGCATCTCAACTATACAGGATGTCTGCACAACTGGTAGAACACCCGTTAAGGGTGGGTGGTAAGTAGGGGTTGAAATTTGGAACTGAAAGTTCCTCTTCCATTTTTGGATCCGATAATTAGTTAATGAGATATTAATTAATTAAATCTGCTAATTCCTTAGCGTCCCGTGTGAGTGCTCAGGGCCGTAGGGCGCCGTGAACTCCTCAGGGGCCCTGCTTGTCCGTTTTTCTCCCCTTTTTTATATCACAGAGGAATAAATATGGATGAGTGAGTGAGTGGGTGTGTGGATGGCTGCCTGACCGGGGCTAGGGGGTAGCAAGTTTTCAATGTGTGGGAATGATGTATGAGTGTTTTTGTGTGCGGTTATGAGTGCATGGGTAATTTAAATGTTTTTAGTGCGAGTGGGTGGAGTGATTGAACTTTATGTGTCGGGGGGGG